GTCTCGTAAAACCAAAAAAAAAAAAAAAAAAAAAAAAAGAATAAGGAATAAGGAAACAGTATTGGTGATGGATTTCTGTATGCAGGATGCCACACACCTTATAGAAAGCTCAACACCTGTAAAGCAAGCTCTGAGGTAGCTGGTATAGAGGACTCTGCTCTTTCTGCCGCATCCTCCTGGCCCCAAGCATGGAGTCCCTTGGGGCAAAAAGAATGGATACTTTGGTTTGGGAAGACAGCTAAGTCAGTAGAGTACTTTCTTTGCAAACATGAGGACCTGAGTTCAGTCCCTGACACCCACATGAGCGTGGCATGTGCCTATAACCCTAGTCCTGGGGAGGCAGAGACAGAAGTAGTCCTGGGCTCATTAGCCAGTGGGCTTAGCTGAATCAGTGAGCTTCAGGCCGCTGAGAGACCTTGTCTCAGAAAACAAGGTAGAGCCAGGTAGTGGTCGTGCACACCTTTAATGCCAGATATTGCACCACAGCAATTAGAAAAATGACACAAGGAACACAGCTTGCCCCCTGACTGCCCATGCAGACGATGCTCTTCCCCCGTGTGGCCCTGTACAACATGCACTGCTCTTCTTTCTGGGCTTTGGCTACAGCTGTCATGCCATCTGCTTGCTACCATGAGGACATTTTGTTACCTCAGAGTGTACCCCTCTCTCACCAGTAAGAAACTATGGAAGTAGTCTAAGTGGCTTTGGGAGTCGCAAAGGACACCCTTCACATGTTTTATCACCAGTGCTCCCAAGACCAGAAGGACCAAGGGGTCTCTGATCTTTGGTTCCCAAATGTGTTGTTTCCCCAGTGTGAACAATGAACATCCTACCATTTGTTTCCTGGATGGTTACGGTTATTCTGACATATTGGTTGGCAACTAGGCCCAGTGATCTGAACGCTGCTATCCCTATCCATGCAGGCCTCCACATGTCTGGTTCTGATCCCAACTTTATCTTGCAGAAGTGTCTCTCCCTGCACTCAACACACAGCATTATGCATTGGCATTTCTGTGAAATTTGATGACCAGAATTTAGGGTCCTCTCTTAGCGCACCCTCATGACATTTTTTCCTCACACCCTTGAGTCTTGTTTCAAACACAGATTTTAGTCTTTAACATTTAATCCTAACAGTATCTCCGGAATTGGCAGACCCACCAACTTCACCACCAAGATGTGAAAGATTTAAAGCCCACACAAGGTTTTCCTGAGCTCAGCCATGTAGTCACTCAAAGTCACTATAGCTAGGGTGCAAGGGAAGGAGCTACTACTCCAGATGGCAGAGCTTGGAGATGCTTGTACAGGCATGCCAGTTATCTGTTGGAGGCTTCAGTTAGTTTCCAGAGGAAGGCTTTTGGAGGCCAGGAAATATGTGGAAGGTCATTGTCCCTACCGAAAGCTCCTTTGGGGGCCAATGCATGAAACTGAGGCTGTGATACCCAAACCAGAATGTTGGAAGATTCCAGAACTGTGTAAAATTTATTTTGAAAAGCCATAGGCACTGTGCAGAAACAGCCTGAGACCATCTGGACTGTGAGTATTAAAGTCATGGGGACAGGGGTTACCCCAGTTTTAGAGCCCACATCATGACCCTACCCGCCCTGAATTAGTGCTTGAATGTTGGGTTCATTTAGTTTTGCTTTGGTTCTGTCTCTTGTTCTTGCATGTTGGGAATATGCAACTCCCCCCCCACCTTACTTTACAGATGTTCACAGTTGACTTTGCTTTGGGTTTCAGAAGAGACTTTGAACTTGGGCTTTCAATGTTGAAGCTATTAAACATGATGCTGCTGGACTGAACACATTTTGTTGTAGAAGGCGGTCATGAACGTCTCAAGGTGCCAGAGGTAGAAGGCTACAGTTTAAGATGTGTTTGGTGTCTAGTGGATAGGCTGTGGACTGTGGATGGGTTGGCTTCAGTAAAGCACACTTTGGAATGTATCCAGGTTTCGGATCCTTGCTTGTTCAGACACTGACCTGACCTATAGATTAATTCCTGAACTCATGACATGCCGACACAATTGTAAGGGGTAACAAAGAGGAGGGATGACTTGGCAGGAAGCAAGTCACTGGAAGCATGTCCACGAGGCTTCTTTTGTAATCTTCTGTTTCCTGGCTGCCGTGAGTTAAGGTGCTTCAACTCCTTCCTACCAGGACAGAGGGAGCCAGGAAACCACTAGCCAAGAGAAACAATTCCTGCTTTTAAGCTGCTGCCAGGTCCTGTGATCACAGATATGGAGGAAATGATAACACATGTCTGGCATCAAAGCCCAGTCTTCGGGTAATTATGTCTCATTTAATTCATATACTGACTTGAGAACTGACAAGATCATGCTATTTATTAGGAACACTAATCGGGAACATGAAATAGGTGCCCTCACCTGTTTCAAGTTTTTAGCTATTCTGAAAATTTCATATGAATTTTATTCTTTTTAAGTGTTAACTTTCTCTTTCATGCTACCATTAGCAACTTGAAATTTTTACAGGTGAGGGCCACATATTTTTTAATATTATTTTTATTTGTAACTACCTTGGATTATTTTTCAAAACAAATTTGTCATTGATTTCTAGGGCATCTTGGTACATTATCATTTGACTTGCAAATATAAGTTTTTATTACTCTCAGGGTTCTAGTGATTTATTCTTGTGCTAGTGTTCATGTCTCCAAGACTATTAAGTAGCAGAGGTCCTGGCTGTTCCTGGCTTGGCAAAGACATCGACTCAGGGACAAGGCAGCCTTATCTTTAGGATTGGAGACACACATTTTACTTTTTAAGAAAGGATGTCTTCATTCCTATCTCTCTGAGTGCAATGAAGGTATGGCAGAGTTTTTCAAATGGTTCATGAATATTTAATTAATAGGTTTCCTGATATAGAATCACCTGGCATTTATGGTATAAACCTAGAGTGTTATGTTTTTGGTTTTGTCTTTAGGCATGTTTATTTCCTGATGCATTTGAGGGCCTCTGAGAGATCAATGTAAGTGAGATCTTTCTCAGTCACTGTTTTGACCAAACTCAGGTCCTCATGCACAAAAAAACACTTCAATAACTCAGACATTTCTCCTGCCCAATATCATATTTCTCAATGTAGTATCTGATCTCCTGTTTTCTTTAGGGTTTCTGTTGCACTGATAATCAGAATAGTAATAATGAAGTTGCCTTGTATGGACATAGAATGTAGCATGGCTGCATCTCAGTTGCAATGAGTTCATTGTGTTGCTGCTCCCACAGAGAACAGGCTAAGCTAGATGTCCACTATGGGTGCGCGCTCTCTCTCTCTCTCTCTCTCTCTCTCTCTCTCTCTCTCTCTCTCTCTCTCTCTCCCTCCCTCCCTCCCTCCCTCCCTCCCTCCCTCCCTCTCTCTCTCTCCAGCATTCATTTCTGGATAGCCAAAATCACTGAACGCAGGACATTTAAATGTTCATGTTCACATTCTCACAGTAACAAGGTATCCGCTACCCAGATGCTCAGCACATGGACAGAGGAGCAAAGCGTGGTCCACCAGCAGACTAAAGAAGGGATTCCTGAAACGAGTTGCATCAACAGACCTAGAGGACAAGAATGTCACAAAAGGAAAAACCCTGCATGATTACTTACCCACTAAATCCATATGGAGTAGAATGGCAGCTGCTGGGAGTCAGGTGTCTGGTGAAAAGGACTCTGCACCATGGAAAGCCTGCTCAGAGATGTGAAGCGATCCCTCAGAGGGCAGATCACACACGAATTTAATGACAGCCTCTGCTTCACAGTGACCTACTGTGTGCATATGTGCTTCCTCCTTTTTTTTTCCTTCTTCATCTTATGGTCTATTTTGTTTTATAAAACAAATTAATTTTGTTTATTAAAATATTTTCTTCTTGACTAAGTCCAAGGGTTTCTACAGTCGTTAGGAGTAGAAGAAAACTTGGTAAAAGTCAAACTACCATTCCTCAGCCATGACTAGGTGAGAACACCCAGGTTCTTCCTAGAGCAGAATGTATCTCTACTCACAGTGCCTCGTCTCAGTGGTCTACCCGGCAGGCAAAAGGGGTATTTTTACCAGTCTTCCCAGCAGGACTTAGAATGGCACACTCAGGAATATGTTTGGAATGGATCTCTGATCCCGTCCTCCAGCTGATGCTTGGATGCATAGCCCTGGGATGGGCCGATGGCCACAGTATAAAAATGACCTACAACTGGGCTGTGTGGGATGCAAGACTGGACAATGTCTCCTTCCTGCTCAGGTAAGTGGAGCTTCCTAAGTCCCCTCCTGTTAACTGTCAACACACAGCCTTGGTCTGACGGACAAGGCGCAGGGTTGATAAGGCATGGCTGCATGTGCACCTGCTTCATCCTCACTCTCAGCACTGGGAGATGAAGGTCTGGGTCACGTGTGACAGGCACTCCATTCTCAAGAGAGTCAAGGATCAGGTAAGAGCACTACTGTGCAGAACAGCAGTAGGCCCAGACAAGGGGAGAGCTACACGGGGTAATGAGTGGAGGCGGGAGATGACCCCGCCCAGGATGAAGCCTGGCCTATGGGGCACAACATTGTTTGGGTTCTCTCTTTGAACAGTACCCAGAAGCAGAGCAGCTTTATGATGCTTCATTCTTAAAACAGACTGGGAAACCAGATCTCTACGGAATAAAGCCAGCAGCTGCAAGGAGGGTTGGGACAAAACCGTGCTATGGCTGATGCCTCCATGTCTAGGCTCTTGAGAGCAAAGTGACAGAATATGCACTTCTTGCAAGTTGTAACAAATTACTTGTGAATGCATTAGTAGTTCTAAGGAGAGAAGAACTCCCTGACTCCAACAACACCCTGTCATCATTTGGTCAGTTCTAAGACCTACAACCCAAAGTCAGTGGAGAGCAGTTACCTGATTCCATGGTTCCACTAAGGAAACACCTGTGCTGGGGGGCAGCTCTCTCCAATCCCACCCATCCAGGGACAGTCACTGTCCAGAGCACTGGGTGGGGCAGACAGACGCAAGAGGAAGTAACACTTCAGAGCCAGGAGAACCTTTAATAATTTAATGACAGAATTTTTGGTTACAGTACAGCTCAAACACATTTTTTTTTGCTATGAGACCACACAAATGATACACAACAATACATTTTCTTTTCACCTACGCCACTACTACTTTTCACATATACAGCCTGCAAGAGTTCCCAAGTGGCTAATGCCAAGGAAAACTGGAGTAAAGCACAGCAGTGTCACTCATACGGGAAGAGCACGTGACTGGCAGAAACACGAAGACCGGCAGAAACAGTGAGGCCAGAAGAGAGCAAGGTGGTGTCTCGTGGTTTCTAAGCAGCCAGCGCACTTCCAGCAACATAGCCCGCACTCCAAGCTGCCCGCACAGCTGGGAGGCGCACACACATTAACGACGACGAGGGCCATATCAGCAAGGGCAGTACAATGGCCACACGGCCACCACTTCCAAGCGAATGAGAGCACGCTACCACTAATATTGACCCACGCCCTGGGTCCTGCAAAGGTAGAGGGGTAAAAACAAGAGAGGGGTGGTTAATGACATGCAGACCACAGCTGAGAGGCACTGGCATCTTTAGGCCCAGAGTCAAACTGCAAAAATAACAAGCAAAGGTCAGGCTCTCCAATTCAGGTTCTGGAGGAACAAATCCCATGGAAAGACCTGTCGAGGCAAAAGGGTTAGAGAAACTGGAGATGTGGCCCTGGTGCAGATATCCACAATGCTCCCTTATGCCACAGGGAGCCTGACTCAAGTGAGTATCAGTGACCACTGCAGGTGTGGAAACCACGGAAGTGGAGACAGGGAGCATGCCAACAGGAGAATCACTGGGAGGGGGACAGTGACAACACCTCAGGTGTTAACAAGAGGGGAAAAAAAAGGAGAAGGTAAGGAGGGAGCCAGAGCCCCAGCCAGGCAGGGGAGTGGATGAAAGAGTGGGAGAAGAGAACAGAGCGTCAGACACTCTGGAAGCAAAAGGAAACCACACTCCATCTCTGCTGCACCTGAAAATTAAACAGTGCAATTAAAGCCTAGGAAGGAAATCCTCACAGAGGACACTGCTCTGGATGCCACCTGTGAAAAGTAAAGAACAAGCGGTTATCTGCTCCTCAAGGGCCATCAGTGTGGGCTGGGTGCAACATGCTGTCTACAATGTGTGTGTTCTAAGACAACAGCGCAGAATGCAAAAGGTGTTAGTTCCCAAACCAGCCTCCGCGTCACTTGTCCTTAAAATGAAAAGTAATTTAGCAGAAAGTCATGTAAGAAGGTCAAGAGGTCTACTGTCTAGAGCACATTAAACTTCCAAACACAGAACACAGTAACATGCACCTGCCCATCCCACCTATAGGACATGTGAGACAAATTATACAAGGTTCTCTCTAAATCACCTGCATTTCCCCACAAACCTTTTCAAATCAGTAAACTGAACCAGGGAGAACATTTAAAACCTCTCCCTATGATAGGCCTAAGGGACAAGGAGAGAGTTTCTCAGTGAAAGTGCCTGTCCTACCAACACTCGACAGAAAGAGTTAGATGATTGGCAGTTTCTAGAAAAGTCAGGTGAGATATGTTAACAAGTACCCACCCGCTCCTGACACCTGATACCAGTAGGAGGTATACCTGGGATCCAATATGAATCAGTGGATTACTCTTGTTCTAGTACACAAAGCCATGGGTTTGTATACCTAAGAAGTTAGGCATTTTTAAATGACAAAAACTAAATAGGTTGCAAAAACCTTACAGAAAATCCTTAGGATTTAATAAGACAAGGCTAAGTGCCTTTTTGAACTTTATATTTAGGGATGTAAAAATAATACTTCCCAAACTTTAAAATACCCAAGCCATTGTTGCAGTATTATTATTAAACTTGGTAAAGTATCTAAGTCTCTCCCATAACTGAGCTAAGCTTCTAGTGGCTTCCTCTGTGGGGAGGGGTCTTGTTCTTGTCCACCCTTGGCCCCAACTGTTAGCTCCTGTGCAGAGCACCTCAAGGCCAATTGCCCTCCCAGGCCTCTTCCCCTCTGAGAAGCAGAAACAAGTGGGCATGAGAGTGAGGGTGCAAAGCTCAAGCTGGGCCCAACAAGCAGGAGGCAGAGATTAAAGGGCTCCGAGGAAGGGAGAGCAAGCGAAAGGGCCGCCCCTTGTGGCCCAGGGCTCTGGCACAGGGATATGCCACCTGACTTGCTCATTTTGTATTGGGTCAGAGGACACAGAAAAGAACCTCAGAGCACCCAATGATGACCAAGAACAGACCTCTTGGGCGAGTGAGTGCCTTTACCTATCTTCAAGTAGCATAAGGCAATGGGCTACATCAAGCTTACCTTCCCAATATTGCCATAGGAAATAAAAGACAAACAAAACAAAAACCAAAACACAAAGACAGGTCTTAAGCCTAGCACTCAAAGAAGACCCTTCACCTAGCCTATGTCACTGCAAGAGTACCTTCATGTGCCCATCTGTGAGGCCCTACACCTGAGTGAAGGAGTACCCTGGGGTCCCATCAGAGGTGTACATCAGTGACATCCCCATCCTTAAGACTCTCTCCTCGCCCACTGTCCAGTCCTCCCCCCACACCTTTTGGGTTCCCTGCCAGCTTCAATGAACAGCAAAGCCTCCTTCTACCTGCTTCAGGCAGAATGCTGCATGGGGGAAAACAACCCCTGGGTACAGGACCTAAGCTGCATCCTGATTCAAATAAACCATCCCAGACCTTTTCACATAACATGAGGACTACCCAGATGAAAATGGTTACGGAAAACCCACCTCCCATCCCATCCAGGCACGATCCTCCACGGCAAGGCATGGGCACGGGACCTGCACAAGAAGCTGCCTATTCAGATTGGGTGGGGGCCAGGGTGGGAGTTTACCTCAGAATCTTTTGGAAAAGAAAAGGTGAGATTTTTCCCCTCAAGAATATCAATATAAGGATTTAACAAATGTGGCCAAGCCAAGGGCAACACAAGGTTATGTTGAGGTAAGCAACTAAGTGAACTCACAATCATTACAGCACAAAATAAACAAGCAAAGAGAGGGAAAATTATTTGTCCCCTCCCCCTACTCTCCACCTCAGGACAGATGCAAGAGTAACTCCTTCAACCTTGTGGAATTTGTGAACAAATAATACACAGATGAGGGTTAATGTATTGACTTACTACCATCTTTATGAAAATTGAATGTACACACAACAACAATTATGAAAGTGTCTCCATTAAACTTTGATAAGACAACAACAAAAACAAAAAAAAAGAACTAACAAATAGCTAAGGGGCTGCTGTTTTGAGTTGAAAGCATTTCCAATAACGTTTGAATTTTCAAAGGTCCATATATTTACACAGTATGCTAATGCTTTTTCTCCTCGTTTGAAATGCATGATAAAGAAAGAACAGAGATAATGGTTGCAGCAGATCTTCCCCGGGTTGGGTTGGGTTCGGGTGTGGTTGACTTCACTGTGAGAAGTGCTCAGCAAGTGGGGAGCGCTCTTTCTAATTCTGCTTCTTTCACTTTCTGTGGCTCCCTCACAGAAGCTAAGCCTTAAGACTGGCGTGCCCCGCTGACAGTCCACTCCAGGTGGATTGCACCAAGGCAGAGGGAGCGGCTGTTCTAAGCAGTGCTTGGAGCTGGTCTCTCAGGACACTGCAATAAGAGAAAGCTACCTCATGTGTGCAGACAATTAAGGGACACACATGCTCCTGGGTACCTCATCACACTCAGAGTGGCCCTAAGGCCTGAGGTGAACAGTGCTGTTGATGAGGATGCTTCCATAAGTGACTCCAATGCGTCAGTGCCTATTTTTCAGACAAAAATGCAGATTTGGGTTTTAAAGGCCCAGCACTCAAAAATCACTTGAGAAGGAAGCAAACTTGTTAAACTCCTTTTACTGAGTCCTAATCCTCAAGTTCCTACATGGCCTCTACCTCATCCAACTAGAGCTAACATGTTACCAAACTCACCAATTTAGTGAACTATCTATCGACAACCCCTGTGTCTAAGAGAAATGCGTGAGAGTGCAGTGGGGCCACCAGTTGATGGATTGGATGGTAAAGACACAGCAGGGCTGACCCCCAGCGCAGCCTGTCAGGGGAAGGCAAACGCTCTGTGCTCACAAGTGGCACCATAGCCACAAGGTCTTCTAAGACCTCCTATGAATGCCTTGCCCTAATTGCCTGGATCCCTAACAAGAATTATATTGCCCCAGTGCTACTTGCCAGCACATAGTGTCATCTCAGAAATGGTCCTATGTAGTTTCACAGGGCCTGGAATACCATTCTCCAGGTATAACATTGGCAACTTAATTGAAAACGTAACATAACCTGCACCTACTCCTCATTATCCAGTGACAGTAAGTGACAACAGACTCCTGTCTCCCTCAATACTATTAAGTTATGTAAGTAAGATAAAATTACAGGTATAAAATACAACTAAAAAGTCCTGAGTGTGTCCTAGTGTCATTGCCCATGGTAGAGTACGTCCCGAACATTGAAGCGTTCATGGGGGAAACATCATAAGGCACTGTGTTCAGTGTCTGCCCAGCATGGACTTCCATGGGATGCTTTGTAGAAAGTGAGTCTCACCTGCTGGAATTGACCAACATGACTACTGTGGACAGACACACTTTTCTTGGAGAGCATCAGCCCTGATGAGAAATCCACCCCTTACACATGTGATAGAAGGGCAACCCAAAGGAAACTCAAAGCCTGAAGGGCAGTGAGGTAATCAAAGCAATGACAGCACACACCACAGAGCTCGGGCATTTAAAAAGCAGAGGCCTAAGTAGGTCTGACCACCCTTCCTTCATGCTGTGCCTCAACCTGTGCCAGGAAACTAAGCCAAGAGGGCTGTCTGTGGGAGGGGCTGAGCCACTGGCCATGGCTGCCTGTGCTTGCTTAGCCAGCACTGTGCCCACAAGTCTCTCCTGAAGCAGGCAGCACTTCAGAGGCGTTTACAAGAAGCAGAATCGCCACTTCCATGGCACCATTCCCAGCCACCCATCTCACACCCTGGCTTTCCAGGGCAGGTGCGTGTCAATCATAATCACCCGAACTTTTACCTATGTTTTACCAGAGCCTAAGAGGGCTTTCTGAGACCACTCCAGTTAAGCCTGGTTAAGAATTCTTTTCTAGCCTGTACTGAAGATAAGTGCAACCATTATCAAATATTCTTTGCTGTGGAAAAATCCTTGGAATTTGAGCCGGTAACATTCTTTCCTGAATCTAAGACTGTGACCAATCACACAGTAGGATCACGAAGAACAAGGTCTACATGCATTGTAAGCACTTGGAAACAAAAGAACACGAGAACAGAGTTCTTGTGAACAACAGAATTCAAAGCAATCTAACACCAGACTCCAATCCCATGTCCACCAGTTTAACTCTCTTCTGGAATCACCCTGTGGCTGGCTGGCGCGCAGACAAGTTGGCAAACTGCAGACCAGATAGACCTACACTTCTGGGGATCCTGCGCCGACCTATAGCTTCCTTGAAGAAATTCCACAGTGTGTGCAGCATGAGGTCAGATTTTCCCATTCAAGATCACTCCACTATCAGGGCCACATTTATGTGAGACAGATCGATCATGTGCCTGTGGAAATAGACAGTTAACACAGACTCTTATGAGCGCAATTCACTAAGGTGCATGGGAATGAAGCAGTGCCTCATGAGTAAACCTACAGTGCATGGGAGCAGAGGAGGCCTTCTCCAGACAACAAATTCAGTTTATAGAGAGATATGTAGCCATGCTCTGTACCTCTGTAGAGCACAGCACAGCACCCCCCATCCACCCAGTCGCCAACTATAGAACACCGAGGCTACCTGTGGAATTTCTGCTGAAATGCTAGTGCATGGGCTGGTTCCTTGAACTTTGCTATGGCTTTCCGTTGCTGGGGAAGCATCTGTAAACTCTATGGGAAGAAAACAAAGAAAATTAACTATTGCCCACTGTGATATAGAATATGAACAATTACATGTTATAAGCTTCTACACAGAATAGCAGACGAGGCTGTCACCTGGAACATGAAAACAAGTCACATGTCCTTCTTTGTCTTCCTGGGCAGTTGTGCAAAGCAGTCTGCTGATTAGCTGGAGAGCAATAAGTCTGCCCTCCAGTATGATATTCAGACCTCCCTCCAGCCTGCCCAGCCTCCTCATACTCTGAGACTAACATAGGTACCCATGGATAAAAACTCTTAAAAGACCCATGCCTTTCTGGAAGGTGACCTTTGATGGTGTCCTCACCCCTCTAAAGAACGGCATTCATCCCTAGTTTACCAAAGGGTAAATGGGTTATGGCCACATGACCGGGTGGGGGCCCTATGTGTGAATGGCACATGGACAGCACACTTACCCCCAGAGCCTTAGACTCTTCTCAATTCTACATTTCTACAGATATAGCCAACCTGGCTCTAACGTGAGAGCTCTGACAAAAGCTGCACACTAAGAAATGGCAAAGCAGGGATCTTAATTCAAGGCAGGCCCCAGAGCCTGTCATCTCACTGCTTTGGCCAGCTGCCTTTCCAAGAATCAATGTGGCAGTGAAAACCTAACTCTCAATAGCTGAATTTCAATCTAGTCCACAGAATTACTAGAACAAGCAAGTATGCTAACACAGAAAATGAAAAAGAGTAGTGTCTGTCCAGAGGCGGATGTCAGTTATCACTACATTATAGCTCACACCCAGTATTGGTCTTGAAGTCAGCCACTAAGTCACATGGGGAGGAGTGACTTTTTATCCTCAAATACTGGAGGTTCATGGGGTAAAAACTTTTTTTTCCAAAATAATTTCAGGCAAAGCCTAGCAACTAGATTAACAGAGGGTCCTTGAAGTTACAATGAACCTACTTCTTTGGCTCTAAGTTTTAACCTGACTCTGCTCTCAGAACAAAGTGACGTTCTGACTCCGAGCTACACCTTCTCCATCTGAAACTTGAACAGCAGGAGACATCCTACCCTCATGTAACCATCTCTTATTCTACCTTTCACCAGTTTCCTTTGGTCTAGAAGAGCTTGTAGAGTTAACACATAGCATACTAATCGAGATCAGTAGTTTCTATGGGATCACTGCCCCAACAAACGTATTTCTTTAGTCTAAAAGGTTTACCATCACTTTCTCACGTAAAAGACTTGATAAAATAACACCGGTAATAAGCAAATGCGCACTAGGTGGTGCCATACTCAAAGAACATTTACCCTACACTTCATTCCCAAACATCAAGGTATAATTTCCCCAAGAGAAAAAACAGTTTCTTCTCAAAGCAGGACGACAGTGCTGGAGATGTAGGTTAGTCATTTAATACCATTTCTTTGATATCTGTATTCAAACCAGTCAAAGTAATCAAAGACTCTTGAAACCACATTTCTATCACTTAAAAAAAAGTATTAAAAATTGAGTATGCACGTATGCGCGTGCAAGGATTCCCGAGATGTGTTAAATGTTTACAGGCAGCTGTGAGTCACCTCATGTGGGTGCTGGGAACTGAACTCTAGTCCTCTTGAAAAGCAATACAAACTCTTAAGTGCTGAGCCATTGCTCCAGCCTTTAGTTACTTCTTTACCCAAATACTACCAGACTTTGTTTTGTTTGTTTGGGGCACGGTTTTAATCCCAGCACTCAGGAGGCAGAGGCAGTTGGATCTCTGAATTCAAGACACCAAGGCTACACAGAAGATCCCTGTCCTGATCACACCCCACAAAAAAAGAAAAAGAAAAGAAAAACAAATGTAGTCATTTCAAAAACACTGAGCATAAAAATCCACATAAGCCTATTTAAAACCATCCCACAACCTAAGACCAGTAGGACCCAAACGCTCTGCTTCCAGGGTAAACAGACCTTTGCTCATCAATTCCTCAGGGAACCCCGGGTGGCAAAAAGCACTGAAGCTTCTAATTCACCTGAAGGGTAGCCATGTTACTGGCACAATCTAGGAAATATTCCATTGGCTTTCAGCCCTTCCTCTCCAATTCACGCCATCATCAACAGCAGCATTTCTTCTGCTGGAGATTTTAAGGTGGCCACAATAAAAACACAATTATTCTGATTACTTTCAGAACTCAAAGTGGCAAATAAAAGGAGGGGAAAGCCACTTAAGAGGTCTATATTAATCACAAAGTACAAAATTCAGTGTATGAGACAGTAAGACACAGGTCACATTGTTTCAACTTACTATCTCCAGGCAGCCCGTGAGTCCCACTCAATAGATCTGCTGGGGATCACCAGGGTCAGGAGAATACCCAGGGTTGCTTATGCTGAAGCCAGGGCATACAGCAGTAGTGCTACAGCTGCCTTCACACTCAGTGGAGAAACCCTGGAAAGCCAGAGCCCTCACAAGACCCGATTGTAAGCACCACCCTTTATTCAGCAAGTACCTGAGACCAAGGTGCATAATGGTGAACCAGGCTCGTGTTGGAATTTGGGCTATCTGGATTATTATGCAACCCAGAGTTTTCAACTATTATTCTGACATGTTAATACATCTATAATCCTCTATTATTCTGTTCCTGCGAACAACCCATAATCAGAAAATATCTATCCCCTTTTAGATAGTCTCAATAAGTACCTCAGCTGGCCTCAAACTCATGGCCCTCCTGTGTGAGCTTCTCAGTGCTGGAGGTGTACACCATCACAGTAGCTAAAACAATCTATGCTTAAAGACAGTGTTACCAACAGCTAGCAAAAGTGGGAGCCAAAGTCTGGATTAACCTCTCAACAAATAGTAAATTAAATCTAATAGCTTCTCTAAGAATCTGATAATGAAGGTGGCTATCATTAAACTCAAATACCAAAACATTAGGCTCTGATTGACAAGGCTTGCTCTTCTACTCACTTTAGGACCTCTTAACAGAAACAGACATATGTCTGTTTGAGGCAGGATCTTTCTTGCTATATAACCCTGGGTGGCCTGGAACTTTCTATGTCGACTAAGGCTGGCCTCAAACTCACAGGGGTCCTCCTGTCTCTGCACCCCAAATGCTGGGATTAAAGGCCTGAGCAACTCTACCCAGCTGTAAATGGATTTCTGATACACCTTAGTCAAGAACTAAAATAAAAGGCGGCCCTTTGTTCTGCTCAGAAATGTAATATATTCTGGATAACATGCACTTTCTACTGGCCATGCATGACTCTGAAGACCACACTACAGGGACAAAACATAGGTCAAACTTGCTTCTAGCAGACATGGAATGTTGTCTGTCTCCATCCTTCATATCATCGGTAACAAGCTCAGACTTAAGACTCTGCCATTTTAAAGGACGTGATGACAAAGTGGAGAGTACAGCTGTAGATGCTAAAATGAACACCAGAGTTGTGAATATGTTGGACAGCTTCATAAAATAAGACAAGTTGGCTAACTACTTGGAAATTTGAGAAATTATCACAAAATGCGATTCAATATAAAAAAGTATAGGTATGTGTACATATGTGAACTTCAGGACAGATTTCAAAGGATAGTACATTCTACTAGAGTACTTCTTAAATGTTGTAAATAAGAACCTAAACTCAGGTTGAGGCAACCATTAGCATCTTTCTTTTCGAGTGCCATCTTTTCAAGTGCAATGTAACTCACAATATCTACTGTGCTGTATGACAGTAGTTCTATCTGGAGACATGACCCACTGGCATCATCATCACCTGCAGGCAACGCACCTGGATTGGCCCCACAGACATGAGCAGGCTCTTCAGCTGAGCATCAGTGGTGGATGAAGACAGCCCTTCCACGGACACCACACAGGGCTGTGGCTTGCACTCCACCACTCGAAGGTTCTGCTTATTTGGCATTAGGCGCCCCCGGCCCATGGGGCCTGCCACTCCTCGGCCTCGTCCATGCATGATGGCCTGGCAATGACAAACAAAATGCATCTGATATCTGAAGAGATTCTTCCTGTGGTAGCTAATAAAGTACAAAGTAAGCATATGCCCAGGGTCAGAGAATCTTCTGTGTATTAATCAACCACTAGAGGGTGGCCTAACCCTAACTGGGGCAACAGCATCAAAGGAATGAGCTAAGATGGAAGTCGCAGAGCTCTGCAGTTGTGACTGGGAGGGACTCTGGTGTTACTTTCATTCATGATACAGACAATGCAAGGATACAGTAGTGGTTGCAATTCACACAGGAAGGGTCAGACCCCATCCTAACTGCCCCAAACACACACACTTCTCCCACCACGGCACAGGCCAATGAACACATGGTATATACAGTGCTAAAACTCCAACAGTAACAACGAGTCATACACAGCTTCTGGGATCCAACTCAAATGGACAAGTCTTATATTCACTGCCCTCAACCCCGTGAATCAGGATTTCATTTATTCAGAGCTTTTACACAATCACATACCAATCTGCCGGTAAAAGGACTCCTAAAGCACCAACCATCTCTCAAGACTACCCAAGTGTCAGAACTACCATGAAGGGCCTTTAGAAAGAAGAGATAGCTGGCATTTCCAGCATTTTCAACTAGTAAGGCAAATAAAAAGAGATGGCCTATTTTGCAGTTATCTAGCCAGTGCATAGACAGTGGAACTGAAACACACTGGACCTCACCCACGGAGTCAGCTAGAGGCAGCTGTCTGACTAGAGGTACGCTGGACCTCACCTGTGTCCTGCCCTAGCTCTGTCCCAGCATTTGGTAAAAAGGGGCAATCCGTCATACCCTGCCACCTCATAAGAAAGGGCAGAAAGCCAGAGTTGATGCCTAGAATGCGTGGGCACCACAGGTACTGGGAACAAAGAGGAGCACAGCTAGAGGTTCCCCTACAGAAGGCCAACACTCCTGCTGTGAGACAAGCTGTGGAGAAGTGAAGGGACAGCCCCAGGGCTCACACAGGAGACAAGTCAAAAGTGAATTCGCAAGCCCTCTGCTTTCCTTACATAAGATCACAATATAAACACCCGGATACAAATTTCAGCCACATACTAGGTTTTGCCATAATGTCTTGTAAAGCCCCACAATAGCTCTAACAAGTGAGAAACATCATTGGTCTCCTAAAAGAGAGCTGAGGGGGCTGGGGGAAGCACCTCTAGCACACCTGCATGTATTTTCTAAAGTTATCTTCTTCATATGGCCAGGGTTAGTTCTGAAAGGAAATACATCCTGGAACAGTCTGTGAGATCAACCTTAATGCTGGATCTATCTCTAAGGTGTGCACGTTGCCCTGCTGCAGCATCAGTGGCCTCTACTGGCTCCTATCTCATTAAGAGTGAGAGACAGCACACACAGGTAAAGGGAACGCTGCGTGAACAGACCCCACACCTCAAGAGGTCAGAGCCAGCACCAGTCTCCTTCCGCCTGGCCTCACCTCAAATATGTATGTGCTACTGCTCACGGGAGGACTTTATGCTCATCTGCTTGTGAAAATTACAAGGCTGCCTTTCCCCCAGAAGCTGAGGGATAGTGCCCTGTCACTTCTCTACCTGCAACATGACTAGACTGGCTTCTTCAAGAGGGAACAGGGAGCCTGTGAGCATCAGGCCTCCCACCTGGCAGGCTGGGCTCAGAGATGACCTTCACCAGCATGCCTCCACAGGGCTTTGTCTCTATTCCTTGAGCCGAGGCGTAATTACAGACAGAATGAGTACAGTTCTAGCTGTCTAGTCTCTATTAGGGATATCCTGGTGTCAAGTGGGTGGAATGAACACAGGTGCCAGTGAGTAAATGACTGGAGGGAAAGGCTTTCTAAACCAGAATTAAGAAAACAATGGCTCCCTGGGTGGTGGTGGTGCACCCCTTCAACCCCAGCACTCGGGAGGCAGAGGCAGAGGGATCTCTGTGAGTTCGAGGCCAGCCTGGTCTACAGAGTGAGTTCTGGGACAGTCAAAACTGTTATATAAAGAAACCTTGTCTTAGAAAGGGGAGGGAGAGAGGGAGGGAGGGAGGGAGGGAGGGAGGGAGGGAGGGAGGGAGGGAGGGAGGGAGGGAGGGAGGAGAAAGAAGAAAACAATGGCTCATTTACTAATGTGAACATTAGCAAGGGTCAGAAAAACCACCTAATGCCAACTTCTCTGAGCCAGTGGCCAGGAAACCTATGGGGGCAGAGCCCTTCCACTTCAGTACCTTTTTGGCTGGGTGAATCCCTTGGATGCTTTTGATCCCTGGAGGAATAGCCGGGTACATGTGGGGCCCCACAGGCAGGTGCTGGGGCTGCTGAGGACCCCCCTTGGTCAGGGTCACCTTGCGAGTAGGCTGCTGTCTCAAGTCCGGTGTCTGGGGAAGCCGCTGGGGCTGGCTCTCTGTGTGAGAAAAGCCATCGCTCTCTCCTCCCTGCTGAAATCAACAAGGCAGCAGGTGGATCAGTGTCTGCCCACCATTCTGGCCAACCCATGGCCAGTGCTGCCCCCGAGGCAGAACCTTTCAGACATAAATAATACCAAATCTGCCTCTTCCCTAGAGCCAGTAGGAAATCTCAATGGTCAATGGTTAAGGTTTTGAATACAGTATTTTTGAAATTTAAAACATTGAGCTTTCTTTTAATGAATATATCCACTTAAAGGGGCTGCAATGAACACAAGGACTGTTTAATTTGTACTGGTTAAACTGTAAACTACTTCATCTTTTATTACTAAGAACACTTTTTTCCCCCTTCGAGACAGGGTTTCTCTGTATTGTTTTGGAGGCTGTCCTGGAACTCACTCTATAGACCAGGCTGGCCTCGAACTCACAGAGATCCACCTGCCTCTGCCTCCTGAGTGCTGGGATTAAAGGTGTGCGTCACCACCGCCCAGCACTGAGCACACTCTTACCATGGAAATTTCTCAGTATTATAAAAAGAGATAACCCAATCACTTTTTAAATATTTTGAAAACTGTAAGCACTTAGAAAAGCCCTTGCCTACCTGGATGCACCTCCTGCTCCCCAAAGACAAGAGCATCTGAGGGCTCTCCACAGGCAACAGTCTGACTTTCTGAGAACCATGGTCCTATAAGCAGTCTGCCTTTCCACAAGCTTCCACTGACTGGGTGAAAGGTGAATTCTGCAGTCAAATGCTCTACCCCTGAGCTATACCCCCGGAAGATGAATTCTGAACAAACTGTGTGCCCTCTAGAACTGAGTATCACCTAAGTTTGAGGCATGGCAGAGTCTCAGCTATCCAGAGAACTGCACACCACTCTATAGTTTCTAAGTGCCCTTCACTCTGCAATAGTGACCAGGAACTTGGCAGCGTCTGTGGCAACTGTTCTCTTTCTGCCCTCCCCATAAACTGAATAGTAAAACCTTTGCTTTGCAAATGGAACAGAAGCCTCTGGCCACACTTGCACAACACCAAAGATGTCACCCAGAGGCGACCAAGCCTCATACAGTTCCTCCTCACTGTTGTGATGTAGTCATCTTTTGCCACTCAAGCTGGCCTGGAACCTCCCGCTCCTCCATGTCAGCCTTCCCACTACTAAGATTACATAATTTGCTCTCAACTAGATTCTAAGCACTCAAAGCTTAAATATAAACAAACAAGTTATTTCCTTTTGTAAAGAAACATTTTCCCCCTAATTGAGAGGACAAATACTATATTCATATAATGAAAAGCTGATTCTAGGCAGCTTTTATACTCTGAATTAACACTAGAAAATGGTCACTAGATACGCTAACAGGCCACTGCCAGGAACACATTTTTATATTCATAGTCATGCACATAAACAAACCTGAATGAGAGTCAAGCCAAACTAAATCGACCTTATATCTGTAAGCTTGCTGTGACCTGTATACCCAGTTCTAGCACTGAAAACAGACCTGTAATTGTTAGTACTGAAGTTACACAACTTTCTTAGAAATCTGTTGCTGAGCTGTAAGGAAACCAGTGTCTTTGAGTGGATGGATGGCAGATTACACTCCCAAGTCTGCACGAAGAGCAGTCTCCCTGGCAGCATGGGGCATGCTCTAACTTCTCTAAAGCAGATGAGGAAGAAGAGACGTGCCCATCTTAACCCTATGGAGAAACATACTATTGAGTTGCTCTAAAATGATTGCCCTTTAATAAATACAATAAAACTGTCTCTTTAGACTAATATTTGGTTTTTAAAATATCTATCTGAATTAAGTAAGCCCAGGGAATACTTTTTATCAGCTTAATCTTACAAAAAAAATGAGGTTTGTGGCCATCAACATTAGCAGGACAAATTTATTTATAACAAATGGTTTAAATGTACAGATAAAAATGCCCACTGATACTGTCAGGGTTTCTTGCAATTTGACAGATCAAATCTTATTTTCATCCTTTAAAGCCCATGAAGAAGTGGTATCACTGAGTTGCATTCACTAGCAGGCAAATTGATTAATCCCTCTCCATAGAACCTCAGCCCTTGATTATACCTATCAGGCGCTAAGCAGCATTATTCTGGAGTGACAACACTTGACAAATTCCCCAATCATTTTCCTCAGCCTTTGTGGCCCTGCTAGCTTGTATTAACCCTGATGAAAAATTAATTTTCCTTATCTTCTTCTAAACCCCAAAATCCAAATCCGCCAAACTGGCAACTCTTTCTGTAAAGGTATTATGAAAACCTCTAAAAGATTAATTGCATGTCTTCAGGTGACATTAAATTAATTTCTGTACTCATGACAGACATTTGATACTCGGCACTGAAAGGACAGATAACATTGTCAGGACACACAGAAGGACAGTAGCATGGTGTCCCAGGGCAGCCTCTTATGAATTCTCCTTCTGATAAGGCCACACTTCACTGTCACCAGCAATGTAGATGATGATGCAGCCACAGCCCTTGCCGCACAGGTTTCTATTAAGGACAACAATACAAGCCTATCCCAGCAATCTCTGGGAGGCTTGTTCAGGGTCAGCACAATAAATGATATGCAAGCTATGTGAAGTTTCCAAGCACAAATATGTACAGGACTCTATTTTCCCTCTGTAGACTGCTGGACTACAGGAGAGATACAGACACAGGACAGAAACAAGGTTAGCCTTAACCTCCTTGCCCTAGGTGCTGTGTGGGGATGAGAACACCTTACATTTGCAGTGTTCTTTTCTCTGTCATCAGGTAGGTACGCTTATACAACAGCAAGCAAGCACACTGGGGACAGTCACTTAAGTATCCAGACCTAACTACTGGGCTTCACTTCATGAGGGAAATGAAAATATATTTTACTTTACTATATGAGATGTGGCAGTTTCTAAGTGCTTACCCGTGTAATAATCCTCCATTCTGAGACTGGTTATGTATGAGGAAATCTTTAAAGAATTAGCTTGTCTTTAAAGGAAAAACAAAAACCAATACCAAAGCTTTGAGCCTCTGAGGGAAAACAGCATGGTCCAGGGCAGATGGCACACATCTACCAGGTGAAAATGGAAATGTACTAGAATTAAGTAAGGCTCTGGGTCCTCTGCAATAAGGAGGCTTCCTAGGCAGTGGGGGCTGTGAGCTTGTTCTTCCAACTCAGAGGCGAGGTTTCAGGGGCCTCTAACAGGCAGCTCTGTTCCTGCAGGTGCCTGCCCAGTGCAAACCTGTTACCTGTTGCCCCACCCATGGTCAACAACAATCTTCCCAGAATTCTACCCATGGTCCTGTCTTTTATACATGCAAAGACCACTGTTTCAGTCAGTTCTATTGGGCCTTTCCTCCCTCCACCCGAGTCACCTATGCACTGCCATACTGCCCTACAAAGCTAGCTAGGTTCTGCCAGAACCAGGCAGGGCTGAGCTGTGTCCCCTGAATAACAATTTCAAGCTAACAAGTGTGACAGATCTACCACTTCAAAGTTCAAAACAGCAGGCAGACAAGATGGTTCAGTGGGTAAAGGTGCTTGATGCCAAGCCTGATGACCTAAATTCTATACCTGGGAACCACATGATGGAAAGAGCCAACTTCCACAAGTCTTCTGACCTTTGCATGTAAACCGTGGCACACCCTCTATCATCAGAATAAGTAAATGTGGACATTTTAAAGTTCAAAAGCAGCAAATAGGCCTTACAACACAATCCTACTCTGCAAACCAAATGAAAAAGGGATTTGGGGGTAAAAGCAGAGGGTGGCTGAAAGGATTAGCAGTACAGATCAGCGTTGTCCTGGGCCCTGCTCCTGCTTTGCTCATTTTCTGGAATCACTGACAAGGCTAGGGAACAAGTGCTCTGCTCATCCTCAGACATTCTGGAGAGATATTATGTCCACTCCACCTCTGCTTTCACAGAAGAAACCCAACTATGCAGACACCTTCAGCTTCAAGTATTTTTTAATACCCTCTGTACTAGCTGGTTTTGTGTGTCAACTTGACACAAGCTAGTCATCAGAGTCCGAAGGACCCTTAGTTGAGGAAATGCCTCTCTGAGATCCAGCTGTAAGACATCTTCTCTTAGTGGTCAATGGGACAGGGACCAGCATATGGTGGGTGGTGTCATCTCTGGGTTGTTGGTCTTGGGTTCTATAAGAAAGCAGGCTGAACAAGTCATGGGAAGAAGTCAGGAAGCAGCACCTTCCGTGGACTCTGCATCGGCCTGCCTCCAGGATGCTGTCCTCTTTGAGTTCCTGTCTTGATTTCCTTCAGTGATGAACAGCAATGCTGAAGTGTAAGCCTAATGAAAATGAACCCTTTCCTTCAACCAGTCTTTTGGTCATGGTGTTTCATTACAGCAAGAGAAACTCTAAGACACCCACTACCCTAGGCTCTAGTGACAAAACATGGGACAGAAGGCAAAAAGTCCCTCAAGGAGGAGCAGGGACCACGAGCTGGAGCTAGAGCTCTAAAGCATGGGAAGCTCTGGGTAGCAAGTGGGACAGAGTGTACGCAGAGGCATCAGCAGGGTCCCGGAACAGCAGGAGTCCTGAGCAATAAAGTAGAGGTTTGAGACATGGTACCTCCAGAGAACAAGAGGGGGACATGGCCTGTGACCAAGGACAGGTGTTCAACTCTGTCAGACTGGTACTTCCCAAAGTGACAGAAGATTTAAGGGATAAAATGAACATTTCTGTAGTTATATCTTATATTATTACGCTTAAGACAGAACTCAACCGCAAATATGCAAAAATCTGCCCGTTTTATATTTTTCTATTTTTTTTTCCCTTAAGACTGCAAAACAAAATGAGAATATCAGCTCACCAGGACTTTCAAGTAGCTCTAAGAATTAAGACCCAACCAGCCCATGCAGGGCCCATCTCCAAACTCACATTCTCTTCTGTACTCAAGCCAATGCCCTTCCTTCCGCTAGGAACTGCCACAGTTACACACACCTCAACCTCCACACTCCTTTACCTGCTTTCTTCTCCAGGTCTCCCTGTTGTGCTGCTCAGCCCACTTCACTTATGCTCGTGTCTGCTATC